AAAACATTTATTGAACACTTAATGTGAGCCAGGCTTATTACTGAATGTTTTGCGTATGTTATTTAAATACTTTTCAGCAGCCCTGTGAATTGTAAGATACTGTTACCATCCTTAGTGGGGGCTTCCCTCAAAGCTCAGTTGGTAAATCATCTGCCTGCAGTGCAGGAGACCCGGGTTTGATTCCTGGGTCGGGAAGATCCCCTGGAGAAGGAAATGGCAACCCACTCCAATATTCTTGCCTGGAGAATCCCATGGACAGAGGAGCCTGACAGGCTACAGTCCATGGGATCGCAAGAGTTGGACACGACTTAGCGACTAAACCACCACCACTACCATCCTTAGTAGTGAGAGTATTTAGGTTTAAAAATGTTTATAGGTCTTGAGCTTCCCCTGCAGGGGCTGTGGGTTAGATCCCTAGTCAGGGAACTAAGATCCCACATGCTGTGTGGGTGTAGCCAAGAAATTAATTAATTTTAAAAGCTTATTTATCTGCCCAAGGTCTGCAGTTGGGAAGAAAAACCTCTCTTTTTAAATACATTGTACAACCCTCCCACCTTTTAAGAATATCTTGATTGTAAAATACAGCCAGATAGAGAAGTTCACATTAAATAACTATGTAGTTTATTGAATTATTGTTAAGGTTGGTATTGTAATATCAATAGATCAAGAAGTAGAACTTTACCAGCCACTGCAGAAGCCTTTTATGTGCCCCATCCTGACCATAACTTCTTTTCTATAATTTTAGTACTGTAGTATACGTTCTTAAACAGTATGCTTTAGTTTTGCTTATTTTCCCCCATTTTTTCCCCCATGGAGTTTATTTGTTGAAAAAACTAGTATAGTTTGATTCTGTAGAGTTTCTGAGAGGTTTGTTCAAGTTGATATTTGATGGTTTTGGCAGAATATTGTAGATGGTGATGTGTTCTTTCATCAGGAGATATATAAATGTCTGGTAATATTTCTTTTTGTGATATTAGAACTATTGATACTCAATGGTTAATTCTATTAACTCTTTAGAGATTCCAGATTTTATTTTTCTGATTTTATTATTTCTTCATTTATTGCTGGAATGTTTCTCTAAAGAAGCTTCCCCTCACCTAAGACTTGGTTACCTGGTGGTTCAGTTTATATAAAAGAGGAAGAGCTAGTGTTATTTCCTGTTGTATACCAGTTTTTTAAAATGAGGAGTTGCTTTTCACTGGCATCTTTCAAAGCAACCTCCACTCCCCCCCCCTTTTTAAATTTATTTATTTATTTTATTTGGGGGATTACAAGATTGTGGTTTTGCCTTTTTTGTGTGTCATAAATTCACAAGATTTAAATATATTTCTTTCAGTTCATTTCAGTTATTCTTATTGATGCTCAAATTGTCCCATCTTCAGCCAGTGGGAGCATCTTCAAGTTGGTTTTCTTTCATCAGGGAGTTTATATTTTAGTAAATGTATGTATATATAAGCATATGTATGTGTGCATGCTCTGTTGCTCAGTTGTGTCCAACTCTTTCTTACCCTGTGGACTGGAACCCATCAGGCTCCTCTGTAGAATTTTCCAGGCAAGAATACTGGAGCGAGTTGCCATTTCCTTCTCCAGGAGATCCTCCCAACCCAGAGATTGAACCCATGTATCTTGCATTGGCAGGCAGATTCTTGAACACTGCATCACCTGGGAAGCCCCAATCATGTGTATATGTATTGCCTTAAAACACACACATATACTAAACACATTGTTCTGTATATTTTGGGTTTTACTCTTGATAAACATTTTGATTGTTATCCAGCAGTATTATAAAAAGTACTGCAATGAATATCTTGGTTCTTAACTACTTTGCCCATGTGTGCAAAATCAATTCCCAGAATGGAATTGTTAAGTAATAATAGCTATTGCCAAATTGCTCTCCTCAAAGCAATTAAGAATTTTTTTGTCTTATGTTTTCCTTTGTTATGTAGTATTAGTATACAATCAAACTTTCTGATCTTTGATAATCTGCTACATTTTAAAAATCTCATTGTAGTTTCTGTTAGTATCTCATTTGTATTTCCTAAATTCTGAATTGTCTGTGTCCTTGGTCCAATTTTCTGTTGAATTGTTAGTCTTTTCCATGTTGATTTGTAGTACTCAGATGTAATAAGAAAATTATCCTTTTGTGACATGTGTTAACAAGTGTGTGTATTAGTGTCTCAGTCATGTCCAACTCTTTGCAATCCCATGAACTGTAGCCCATCAGGCTCCCCTGTGCCTGGAATTCTTCAGGCAAGAATACTGGAGTGGGTTATTTTTCCTAATTGTGTTGTTTCTTTTGACTATCTCTATAGTTTTCATTTCCTAAGCAGAATTTTTAAATGTAAACTATTACTCAAATTTATTAGTTCATTTTTAAACAATCTAAACTTAGGAAAGAGTTTAAACAGTACAAAGAAGTTCCCCTCCCTCCACCCTGAACCCTTCAAGAATAAGTTCCCAGCTTTGCCCGGTCACCTCCTAATACTTTAGTGTGTATTTCCTATTCACCTCGATAACCATACTATACCTATTAAAATCAGAAAATTAATACTGACACATTACTGTCTTTAGATCTCCATTCAGGTTTCACTAATTGAAATATTTCACTCTTGTCCTAAAAACAAACCTTTAAACAAAAGGATCTAGTTCAGAACCACAGGTTTCAATGAGTATACGTATCTTTTCGATGTCCTTCCATCTGGAACAGTTCCTTAGGTTTTTCTTTGACTTTCAACTTTGATAATTTGAAGATTATTCAAAACAAACTAGAACAAATTCAGATTTTTCCTAGTGATTCCTCATAATTCTGATGTTCCCAGTAGACTTAGGTTACATATCTTTGTCAGAAATATCATAGAAGTGATCCTGTGCTCTTTCATGCTGTCAGGTGACACACAGTTTGAGTATGTCCTATGAATGATGTTTACTTCAATCACTTGATTAAGACGGTGTTTGATTGGCATTTCTACTGTAGAGTTATGATTTTTCCCTTTCTACTTAATCAGTATTTTGTGTGTGGGGGGGTACTTTAAACATCTCATTCCTTATCAAACTTTCCATTTATTCCTTTATTTATAGTAGAATGAATTTACAGGTTGTCTATTCAGTAGGCTATAATCCCTTTACTATCATCAGTTTTGATACTTGAGCATAGTTTTGCTAGCTAGTGGGTGAGATCATTTGGGCTGATCTCAGTATTTTTTTTTTTTTTCTTGACTGTCATGTGGGCTTTCTCTATTTGTGGCATGGAGGCCTCTCTAGTTGCAGTACATGGGCTTAGTTACCCCCCAAGGCATGTGGGATCTTAGTTCTCTGACCAGGGGAATCTATGTCCCTTGCCTTGAAAAGTGGATTCTCAACCACTGGACCACCAGGGAAGTCCATTCAGTGTTCTTTTAACATGTCCTCATTATTCAGCAGTTTCTTATTTCTGCCACAAGATATTTCAGGCTCACCTTGTATTTCCCTCAACCTAGAATCATCCATTTCTCCAAGGAGCCCTTTTCCCTTTTATAAAGAAGTAAGAAAGTATTCAGAAGCAAATATCCAAATACTGGTCGTGTTCATTGCTATTGGAGTGACACTGCTTCCAGACTTTGTTACACACCTGTGTATAATCCACACATTTCCAAACATTTATACATATGTGTATACGTGCTTACCTATTTCTATCTATCTTTTTTTTTTCATTTATTTTTATTAGCTGGAGGCTAATTACTTTACAGTATTGTAGTGGTTTTTGCCATACATTGACATGAATCAGCCATGGATTTACGTGTGTTCCCCATCCCGATCCCCCCTCCCGCCTTTCTCCCCATCCCATCCCTCTGGGTCTTCCTAGTGCACCAGCCCCCAGCACTTGTCTCATGCATCCAACCTGGGCTGGTGGTCTTTTTCACCCTTGATGGTATACTTGTTTCAGTGCTATTCTCCCAGAACATCCCACCCTTGCCTTCTCCCACAGAGTCCCAAAGTCTGTTCTGTACATCTGTGTCTCTTTTTCTGTTTTGCATATTGGGTTATCGTTACCATCTTTTTAAATTCCATATATATGCATTAGTATACTGTATTGGTATTTATCTTTCTGGCTTAACTTCACTCTGTATAATGGACTCCAGTTTCATCCATCTCATTAGAACTGATTCAGATGAATTCTTTTTAATGGCTGAGTAATATTCCATTGTGTATTTGTACCATAGCTTCCTTATCCATTCGTCTGCTGATACCTATTTCTATATCTATCTTTTAAAAACAATGAGTTCACATTGAAAATTCCAGTCCAACAGTGTAAGATGTACTCTTTCTATTTATATTTTAACTCTCTTCTCAGAAGCCTGGCTTCCATTCTTCTTAATTATTTGATCAGTCTGTTGATGTTACCAAGCTTCCAGTTCCACCTTCCCCTCTCCTGTGTCTATAACCTTTTCTGGCACCCTTCCCACACACAAACCTCCTTCTTCTCACCCCTCTTGAGCTCCAGCACTGTATGCCAGACCACCCTCTGCATGGATGCCCTTTTTATCCCACTTGGTATCTATACTGAATCTACACTATTCTACTTGGTATTTATAACCTACACTGAACTGCCCGTCTCCATTGACGCACTTCTCACCCTACTTGTACTCTAACCATGCAGCACTCACTTATACTCAGTCAGCAAGTGAACATCCTCCTCACCTTTTTTAAAAATGCCTTCCAAGTTCTGTGTCATACCTTTAAATAATTTACCCACTTTCACATTATAAAAAATAGTTTTGTTTTCTTTTTGTGATTTTATTTATTTATATTGTAGGTAAGCATTGTGAAATTTATTTTGAAGTAAGAAATGAAACAGAAATCCAACACTTAAATGGTTATCCAGATGACTAGAATTTTGTATAAAAACTGTATCTCCCCCCCCCAAAAAAATGTATTACAAAGTTTTTTTATAAATTTACTGAATCCATAGGGCTTTTTCTTAAACATGGGTGTCATTTTCATAATATTTTTGTTTATAACAGATGATGATGTACCTGCAGATATGGTTGCAGAAGAATCCGGTCCTGGTGCACAAAATAGTCCATACCAACTTCGTAGGAAAACTCTTTTGCCAAAAAGAACAGCGTGTCCTACAAAGAGCAGTATGGAGGTAGGTTAAATGTCTGTTTTTGTGTGCATAATGAAAGAATTGTTAGGAAACAAATGGGACTGTCATCATTTTTTAGAAGTAATGATTATGGGTAAAAATATTTTCTTAACTAGTTTTCATTTTGTTTTTGAAGGGTGCTTCAACTTCAACTACAGAAAACTTTTTTGGTCATCGTGCAAAACGTGCAAGAGTTTCTGGAAAATCACAAGATCTATCAGGTATTTCTTTTGAGAAAGTTAAGGAATAGGGTAAAATAGTTCTTTTCAATTTGTTTAACAACAAAAAACTAAAGTGTTTATTTACACAGTTGAGATTGAGAAAGCAATTTATTACAGAATAAACTTGAGAACCCTGACCTCCATCTTTGACTATAATTGTTATATAAAAATCCTTTTTGTATATTTATTGTAACCAGTTACTGAAATGGTACATACTAGCTAAAAGAAAGAATACTGTTAATATAAAAGAAAATAAATGTGTGTCATCTCTGAAAACAAATACTTATAAAATTATAGTCATCAAAAAATAAAAGCTCTTCATTTAACAGAATGAAAACTGTGCTCTTTAAATAATGAGAAAGTCTCTGCTAGCATGATAGATTATGTTCTGTTTGTTAATCTTTTTATAGCAGCACCTGCTGAACAGTATCTTCAGGAGAAACTGCCAGATGAAGTAGTTCTAAAAATCTTCTCATATTTGCTGGAACAGGATCTTTGTAGAGCAGCTTGTGTGTGTAAACGCTTTAGTGAACTTGCTAATGATCCAATTTTATGGTAAGTGAAAATTTATTTCTTAGTATCTTGAGATATATTATTTACTGCCCCAAATGCTAAAAGATGGTAGGAAGGTTGGAGTGTGAGTTGATGGTTACAGTTAAATAGAAGAAAATTAGAATACTTATAAATTCCAGTTCAGTTCAGTCGCTCAGTCATGTCCAACCCTGCGACCCCATGGACTGCAGCACTCCAGGCTTCCCTGTCCATCACCAATTCCTGGAGCCCTCAAATTCATGTCCATTGAGTCAGTGATGCCATCCAACCATCTCATCTTCTGTCGCCGCCTTCTCCCGCCTTTAGTCTTTCCCAGCATCAGGGTCTTTTCCAATAAATCTGTTCTTCCCATCAGGTAACCAAAGTATTGGAGTTTCAGCTTCAGCATCAGTCCTTCCAAAGAATGTTCAGGACTGATTTCCTTTAGGATTGACTGGTTGAATCTCCTTGCAGTCCAAGGGACTCTCAAGAGTTCTCTCCACACCCCAGTTCAAAAGCATCAATTCTTTGGCACTCAGCTTTCTTTATAGTCCAACTCTCACATCCATACATGACTCCTGGAAAAGCCATAGCTTTTGACTAGATGGACCTTTGTTGGTAAAGTAATGTCTCTGCTTTTTAATATGCTGTCTAGGTTGGTCATAGCTTTTCTTCCAAGGAGCAAGTGTCTTTTAATTTCATGGCTGCAGTCACCATCTGCAGTGATTTTGGAGCCCCCAAAAATAAAGTCTGTCACTGTTTCCATTGTTTCCCCATCTATTTGCTGTGAGGCATGCCATGATCTTAGTTTCTTCAGTGTTGAGTTTTAAGCCAGTTTTTTCGTTTATTTCACCCTCATCAAGAGTCCACTTTGCTTTCTGCCATTAAAGTGGTGTCACCTGCATATCTGAGGTTATTGATATTTCTCTCATCAATCTTGATGCCAGCTTGTGCTTCATCCAGCCCAGTATTTTTCATGATATACTCTGTATATAAGTTAAATAAGCAGAGTGGCAGTATACTGCCTTGACTTACTCCTTTCCCGATTTGGAACCAGTCTCTTGTTCCGTGTCCAGTTCTAACTGATGCTTCTTGACCTGCATACAGATTTCTCAGGAGGCAGGTTAGGTGGTCTGCTATTCTCATCTCTTTAAGAATTTTCCAGTTTGTTGTGATCCACACAGAGGCTTTGGCATAGTCAATAAAGCAGTAGATGTTTTTCTGGAACTGTTGCTTTTTTGATGATCCAGCAGATGTTGGCAATTTGATCTCTGCCTTTTCTAAATCCAGCTTGAACATCTGGAAGTTCACGGTTCTTGTACTGTTGAAGCCTGGCTTGGAAAATTTTGAGCATTACTTTGCTAGCATGTGAGATGAGTGCAATTGTGCTATAGTTTGAACATTCTTTGGCATTGCCTTTCTTTGGGATTGGAGTGAAAACTGACCTTTTCCAGTCCTCTGGCCACTGCTGAGTTTTCCAGATTTGCTGGCATATTGAGTGCAGCACTTTCACAGCATCATCTTTTAGCATTTGAAATAGCTCAACTGGAATTCCATCACCTCCACTAGCTTTGTTTGTAGTGATGCTTCCTAAGACCCACTTGACTTTGCATTCCAGGATGTCTGGCTCTAGGTAAGTGATCACACCATCATGGTTATCTGGGTCCTGAAGATCTTTTTTGTATAGTTCTTCCGTGTATGCTTGTCACCTCTTCTTAATATCTTCTGCTTCCGTTAGGTCCATACCATTTCTGTTCTTTATTGTGTCCGTCTTTGCATGAAATGTTCCTTTGGTATTTTTAATTTTCTTGAACAGATCTCCAGTCTTTCCCATTCTGTTGCTTTCCTGTATTCTTTGCACTGATCACTAAGGAAGGCTTTCTTATCTCTCCTTGCTATTTTTTGGAACTCTACATTCAAATGGATATATCTTTCCTTTGCTCCTTTCCCAGTTACCTGTTTATCACAAATGTTGATTATCAGTCCAGGCAGTGTTTTTAAAACAATAAGAAACAAAGTGAAATTGTTCAGTTGTGTCTGACCCTTTGTGACTCCATGGACTGTAGCCTATCAGACTCCTCTGTCCATGGGTTTTTACAGCAAGAATATTGGAGTGGGTTTCCATTTCCTTCTCCAGGAGATCTTCCCAACCCAGGGATTGAACCTGGGTCTCTGAGTTCCCGGGTTTGCATTGTAGGCTTTACCATCTGAGCCACCATCTGAGTACTTCCTTTATTTAAAACAATAAAGGAAGTACATTTTCTGCTATTTGTCAGTTAAAAGCTACTGAGTGATTATGGAGAATACTTTTCATTCCATTGCTTTTTAGAAACAGAACTAAGTCTAATTTAAAACAGCTTACAGTTCAGTAAGAATGTAGATTTTGTATATCACGTCTAGATAAAAGTTTGGACAGTTGTATTTTTGAACCATGAAATATGTGTGCCTTTTGACACAGGAATTCCACTTCTGAAAATTTGCTTACGTTATGTTTTCATAATAGCATAGTTAATAGTGGGAGAAAACTAGAAATCAAAGTCTAGCAATAAGGGATTGGACTAAAAGTAAACAGTGTTATGTCTACTTAGAGGGTTTTGATATAGTCATTAGCAGTGAACTTTACAGTTTTTAATAATATGGGAATATGCTATGTTATAAAAAATGAAAGCAGAATACAAAAATTTTATGTTATCACAATTGTAATAAATGAAACTCTAGCTAAAAAGACTGGAAAGAAATACAGTAAATTGTTAATAGTTAATATATTAAAAGTAGGTTATCGCTTTCATACTTTTCTGTATTTTTACAGCAGCTATATGTATTACTTCTATGATGCTAAAAATAAGGTACACTTTAAATTTAAGAAAGAAAATTATCTTTGTGTTGGAAAGGAAAAAGGGGATGTTAAAAGAGCAGAATAAACATTTATTTTGTATAAGAAATTATATAACAGTTAACTATCACTCCACTCCTAAGATTTGATGATTTGAGATCAGACATACGTGAAACATCATTATTTAAAATCATCCTTTTAAGTTATAACTGTATGTGACTTTTATAGTAAGGGTGGTTTTTATTTCCCTTTGACTAAGCAGTCAGATTTTAAAGAATTGACGCATTCTTTTAGGTGGACTACTTTACTTTTTATATCCAGTTACATTATTTTAGCCAAAAATTTTATCTTTACATTTAAAATTCTGCTCTTTCATATTCTTACAAGTTTTTGAGGCCTCAAATAATTTTTATAATTGTTTAAAGAATATTTTATGAAGAAATCTTAAACCCCTTTCCCCCTCCAGGAAACGATTATACATGGAAGTATTCGAGTATACCCGCCCTATGATGCACCCTGAACCTGGCAAATTCTACCAGATTAATCCAGAAGAATATGAACACCCAAATCCATGGAAAGAGAGTTTCCAGCAGTTGGTATGAAGTATAAGTGGAAAATACTGACTTTATATTATATATATTTTAAAGAAAAGTTTTTAAATATATAATGTTTTATTATATTTATATATTTATAAATACAGTTTTATAATAGTTCCTTTTTCAAAATTTAAACTCAAGTATAGGTTTCATGGGGATTTCCTGGTGGTCCAGTGTTTAGGTCTTCACATTTTCACTACTGAGGTCTGGAGTTCAATTCCTGGTCAGGAAATTAAGGTCCCAGAAGCCACACAGCATGGCCAAAAAGAAAACTAGGTTTCTTGTCAGTACACATTTACCAGCCAACAAAGGAGTCATCAGTTCTTTTCACTATTGGCATATTTATTATAATTTAAACAGTAGCAGTAAGTATCAATAGCCTGAGAGCAGTTATATTTTCTATGGATCTGTTTCAACTATATTTAAATTATTGCTGTTGGGTAGTTAATTTAGAGTGTCGCAGAATTCCCTTGGTAGTCCAGTGGTCACATTTAGCTTTATTTTCATATGGTCCTTTATGAATAGTTAACTACCCAGCTAGGGGTGATTTTGTTCCACAGGGGTATTTGGCAGTGTCTGGAGACATTTTTGGTTTTCACAACTGGAGAAGAGACTGCTTCTGATACCTGATGGTTAGAGTCCAGAGATGCTGCTAAACATCCTACAATGCACAGAATAAGCCCCTACAACAAAGAATCTGTTACAAACTATCAGTAGTGCTGAGGTTGAAAAACCATGTTCTTACTTACTGGGTGTTACTGAGTTATAAACTGTTCCAGGTTTTACATTGCAGTATGCATCAGAACATTAGTTGGACTAACTAATACTTGTTTTTGAAAATTAATTTTAAAAATTCATGTAGTACTAAACTAATTTATAGTGTTTATACTAGTAGTCAGTTTTTTGTTTTTGTATTTTTGATGTCTTAGTATAAAGGTGCACATGTAAAGCCAGGATTTGCTGAACATTTCTACAGTAACCCTGCAAGATACAAAGGAAGAGAAAACATGTTGGTATGTTTGATTTGTCTTTTTCTAAAATTTAAAATGATGATCTTACAGTTCTGTACTGACATGTTTTTTCGGGGGGTTGTTTGTTTTAGTACTACGATACAATTGAAGATGCCCTTGGTGGGGTACAAGAAGCTCATTTTGATGGACTTATCTTTGTTCATTCTGGAATATATACTGATGAATGGATATATATTGAATCTCCAATCACCATGATTGGTGCAGGTATTTCAAAATGTGTTGTCATTAGAATTTTAATACTTTATTTATGTGATGGGTTTTTTTAAAATGCTGGTTACTTAAAAATGCTGATTACTTAAAATACAGATGAACCTTGATAAAACCTTAATTGTAGGAAAAATTAGAAATGTGTATTTTATATGATGGAAATGAAAACTTTAGAGTTCAGAAATTATAAATGTATCTGTTTCTCTTGGTGGGGGGGTGGATGTGTATAATTCTTGATGCCAATAGTTTGTCCAACTGCTTTAGTTATTAAGGAGAGAAAAATATTTGTTAGTTTTATCTTTTATTTGAAAATACAGAGGCTAATGTTTTTATTGCTGTGTTTTTAATGAAACAAATGTGCTTTTAAAATACTTTCCATGCTGTTTCAAAGTTGTTTTTATGGTCGCGTTTCTAAATATAAATGTAATGTTTGTTGAGCACTGGCCAGTTATTTGAAAATTTATGGGCTCTCTGATTTTTATAAGGATACAGTAGTACAAGACCATTTTAAAATAGCGAGAAGTTGTAATTACATTTGCATTTACTGCCCTTTCTTCTTCCCTCCCTATTTCCACATCAAAGAAAAGTGAGAGAGAATATAGAAAAATTTTGCCTACTAATTTTCATTATTTTCCAAATCAAGACCAGTACTGAATATAGTTTAAATAAAGAAGTATCTTTCTTTCTCTCCCTGTTCATCATCCCCTTCTTTCTTCTCTCTGAATGTTGTTTTCTGGTGCTACTGGTAGTGATTTGGTTTCCAGAAGAAACCCACATTTTAATATGCCTTTGCATTTGGTATTGAATACTATTTGTAGCTGATTCTATTAAGAGTATTATTATACATGGATTTGAGTTATGGTGATGCTCAAATAATGTCTGTGTTCAGTATGACAAGTTATCTGTCTGATGAAAGAGTATTAGTCCTGCCTACTCAATTCTAATGTTCCTTTAAAATTCCCTCTCTAAAAGAACTGCCCAATTTAAAACTGTAGAAAGGGTTCTATTGAATTATTAGTTTTATGGCAGAGTATTTTTACTGACTAAGAAAGTAATTTTTTGATCTGTCTGATGAAAGTAATATGCTTTAAAATATTTTCTTCATAGCACCTGGAAAAGTAGCAGACAAAGTTATAATTGAAAACACTAGAGATTCAACCTTTGTTTTTATGGAAGGTTCTGAAGATGCTTATGTTGGATACATGACAATAAGGGTAAGAAATTACAAATTTTTAAGTATATATATGGAAATCATTTAAGACTGTGGTTATTTATTTCAAACAAAATTTCTACTTTTCAGTTTAACCCTGATGACAAATCTGCTCAGCACCACAATGCGCACCACTGCCTAGAGATTACAGTGAACTGTAGCCCTATCATCGATCACTGTATCATCCGAAGCACATGCACAGGTCAGTGTTCCCATTGTGTTTTATTATAGGTCAGTCATTGTGTTGCCCAGTAGGATTTTAAATAAATGTTTTTTCTTACAGTTGGCTCTGCAGTATGTGTTAGTGGTCAAGGAGCATGTCCCACTATCAAGCACTGTAACATCAGTGACTGTGAAAATGTTGGACTTTATATAACAGATCATGCACAGGTATTTTTTAATTTTGTGGGGTTTTTTCTTTTCCGTGTTTTTTTTTCCCAACTACACTAATGTTTATTTCTGGTTAATTGTTTTAGGGAATATATGAGGATAATGAAATTTCCAATAATGCTTTAGCTGGGATTTGGGTTAAAAATCATGGAAACCCAATTATTAGACGGAATCATATTCATCATGGACGTGACGTTGGTGTGTTCACATTTGATCATGGCATGGTAAGAACACTTATTCTTAATTTAAAAAAAACAACTAATGTTGTATCAGTTAAATTTCAAATAGGTGTCAGCATTTTATCATCACCAAATTGCTGAATTGAAGAGTATAAGTCTAAAAGAAGACTAAAAATTAAAATGAGTATGCAATATCAATTCTGTAAATTCTTGAATCTAACATTCTATACATGTAGAGAAGATGGAGTCCTTAGAGAATTGATGTGATCTTTGAAGAGAGTAAGGTCTAATCCAGTAGTTCTCGAATGTAAGTATGAATAAAAATCACCCACATACAATAAATCAGAATTCTTCAGGATGGCACCCAGTATATGCATTTTTAGTAAGCACCATAAGAGAGTTTAATGCAGGTTGCTTTTTGTTTGTTTTTTGCCATGCTGCATGGCTTATAGGATCTTAGTTCTCCAACCCGGGACTGAACCTGGGCCCTCAGCAGTGAGAGCATGGTGTCCTAACCTAACCACTGAACTGCTAGGGGATTCCTAATACCTAGTTTTTGTTGAAGTAATTTTTTAAAATCCTAGGACAGCATTGGCAACATTTTTTGTTAAGAAGTCTGAGATGGGAGAGGAGGTTGTACTGTGGTAACAAACAAGGGTATGATGAAGTTTTATTGCAATTATGTGGTATTAATCAAACAACTTTGGAACATTGAATTGGGACATATAAAAATTGTCTGTTAACAAAGGAAGTTTATTTTCAACTGTTTTGTGCCTAAAACCCTAACACATGTTGAACCCTTTTTTTTGCCTGCCACTTGTGGCATGTGACATGTTAGTTCCCCTACCAGGTATCAAGCCCGTACTCCCTCAGTGGAAGTATGGAGTCTTAACCACTGGACCTCCAAAGAAGTCTACTAAACTCTGTTAAAACTGAAGTAGACCAGGAAGGAGTACCCTTTTATTAAATTCTGATTAGATATAAATAGTTTTATTAATAGACCCCCCAGTTCATTATATTCCTGTGATAACTGTAACCTGAGAAAAACAGTTCACTTAAAACTCATGCTGTATAGTTTGGGCCTGTAAATAAGAAAGCACAGTGGAGATGACTACTTGTCCTTCTCCAGCTAGAATTTTAAAATTGACATTTTTTTGCAAATTGTAGCTCTTTTTTTCCAAGGAGTAGGAAAGAGGGGAGTTTGGAAATTTGGGGGGGGGGGTCTCAGCAAAAGTATAGAGGTTGTCAAAACATAAGAGTCTTCAGAGAATTCATCCTGCCTGGTTTCAAAGCATAGCTTTGTGTAACCTTCAGCTCTTAACTTCTCAGAGCCTTGGACATGCACTAGCTCATTTATACAACACACATGGATTGGGTTCTGTGGTTGATGGCAATGATGGTCCTAATTCTTCACCCCTTCCTGTGGGCACACTCTTTGATACATAATTTTGCAGTGTCCTCTCACTTTGCCCTGGGCTCAGCCACGCAACTTGGCTTTGGTCAATTGGATGTTAGCAAACAAGGTGCAGTCCAGAGGCTTGAAATGGGTATGTACCTCTGTCTTCACCATGAGAACATGCCCAGGGTAGCCCGTTGGAAGATGAAAGATATGTGAAGCAGATTCACATTACAGAAGCCAGCCTAGATCAGCCTATGGCCAGCTGGTCCCCAGCAAAAATCAGCAGAGTCACCTAGCCAACTTTCTGGTCAACTGGTTTACCCCTAGATGTCTGAGAACAAAATCCTTTTTTTGGTATAAGCTGAGCTTTGGGGCTTTTGTTGTGCAGAATTATTGAGTCAGTGCAGCTACCATTACATGCCAGCCACTCTGCAAGCACTGACTACAAAGTTATATAAGAGGATGATAATGCCTATCATGAAAGACCTTTGATGATTAAATAATAGAATACATATAAAGTGCTTGTCTATTAATAAATGCTTTCTGCTGTTTTTTTAAAAGAGTCTTAAGAATCTACCCCCTCTTAGAGGCCTGTGTTGGTAATATTTTTTTTTCCTAATTTTTTCTTTTTTTTTCTAACCGCACCCTACCTGCGGTGTGCAGAATCTTAGTTCCCCAACCAGAGATCAAATCCCTGCCCCCTGCATTGGGAGAGTGTCTTAACCGCGCAGACCATAAGGGAAGCCCTAGCAATAATTCTTAAATGGAATTCTAAATGGAACTCATATTTTTGTAATGAAACTATACTATGCTAGTATTTCTTTGCCTGTGTTGCCTTTAGACTTTGCCCCAGAGTTACATATACAGTTTCAAGTATCATATTTATGCATGCCCCTGGTCTCATTCATATATGATTTGAGGTACCAGAATAACTTTAACCTGAGTAAATTTCCTCATTTTTAAAATACCTAATACTTATGGTTACTTATTAAAATTCATTATAATAATATACTCTTCACACAGTCCCAGTACAGTTTACATTTTATAGATTCAGGTTTATAAATTTTTAAAAAACAAATCTTGGGCAATCCTACAGATAGAAATCTCATCAATCCTTAATGGAAATATATAAATTATATAGACTTATAAGGAAAAGATGGTAATAAAGCATATCTTGGGCCTCTCTCATCTATTTTAGTATTGTGATACAATCCTTTAAAATCCTTTGGTAGAATGTTCTTTATTATTAAGGTGTTTTTTGTGTTGGTTTCCATGATTGGTAGGATATCACTAAGGTTAACCTTTTTAAAATTTGACTTTTTTCATAGAACTTCAGAGAACATCAGAGTAAATATTTAAATTAGTTTCTGTACTGTTCTCTGAAATTGTCTTTCCTCTTCCTTGTCTATGACCAGCTTAAAATTTAAACTCCTATATTGGCAAGAATGAATGGTGAAAGAATTTCTGCTATTTTTTTAATCTTAATGTTTTAAAATATTACATGCCCTGTATAAAAGACATCCCTAGAATTTCAAAGGTTATGGTTCTAGAGTTTGTCATAATGAACTGCATGTTTAAACTTTTGAAAAATTATAAAAGGTACTTTATATTTCAGACCTCTGTACTCCATCATTTGTATCCTTATTTTTCTTTAGAGCTTTACAACATTTATATTCCTACAGTTATTTATTAACCTTCAGTCCTTTTACCATAGTTTTTCCATTCCTGATTTTATTTTGATTCATTCTTGATACGGCTATTCTGTCATCTAGCCATTTTGATTCTGTTTATTTTTAAAAGGAAGGCTTATAGCTTGAATTCTTCCCACTTGAGAATGTCTACCCGTTAACCTTTTAATTTTGCTGAGTTTATAGTTTTTATTTTCTTTTGCTCAGAATTGTGTAGTTGTTTTTATATTTCTAGAATTGAGTGTGACTGAGAAATCTGAGATAATTCTGGGTTTTTTGTTTTTTCCTTTCTGATGGAGATTTGCTTTTCTACTTCAGTTATCCATGTGATGTTTTTGTTGTATGTTAATAGTTTTTTTTTTTACCACTTTTCTGTTTCATATGTTCCTTTCTTTAGAAACTTAGTTATCTTCTCTGTTACTTATATTGTTCTATATTGCTTCCTTCTTTTCCTTTGTGCTATGCTGTGGTAAGTTGCTTCAGTCATGTGTGACTCTTGGCAGTCCCATGGACTGTAGCTACCAGGCTCCTCTGTCCGTGGGATTCCCCAGGCAAGAATACTGGAGTAGATTGCAGTGCCCTCCTCCAGGGGACCTTCCCGACCCAGGGATCAAACCCACATCTCTACGTCTCCTGCTTTGGCAGGCCGGTTCTTTACCACCAGCACCACCTGGGATTCTGTGTCTTTTACTGTGTCTACATATCTTTATCTCTTTTTCTATTGTGTTTCCAGTATGGTTTTTATCTCTGATTTTTTTAATGTGCTTTGTTTTATGGAATCCTTCTTGCATATATAATATTGGAGACAGTATTGTAATGAATTTCCCATGTATCCACCCTCCACATTCAAACTTTCAGTTCATGGTCAGTTTTATTTCATCTGTACTTCCTCATACATTACTTATTCTCTTCTTTATTCCAAATTATTTTGAAGCAAATCTCAGATATCATCATCTCATCTGTAAACATTTCAGCATGTATCTTTCTTTTAAAGGTAGGATTCCTTCTTTTTCTTTTACATAACCACAGTGCCATTCTCACTCCTAAAAATAATTTTTCTGTCAACATCTACAGTTACCCAATTCTTTGTGGTATTTGTTTTTAATATTCAGTCTGTTGCAGAGTGTTATTTTCATAAAGTAAAATTAAAATATAGCAGTAGCAAATTGCTATAAAATTTTCAAGATATGTATTCTGAGTTTATGAATTTAGCTCATGATAGATTGACAGTAGACAAAAACTATGTTGAGGTATGGTTTTCCTCTCCTCCTTTTTACTTTGGATAGTCCTCTTTAGATAAGAAATGCAAGTTTTGGATAATAGAAGTTGTACATTAGTGTTTCTTCAAATTTTCTTCTTGTGCCTAAATTACTTCTATGAAAATATTACTGTAGGATTATTTCCTTCCTCTCCTGTGTTCTGTTCATGACACTAGATGTCACTACTTATCATTGGTTATGCTTGCTTATTAGAACAGTTACTTGGGGAAACATACCTTGCTAAAGGTGTATAGTAACATCTGCTAGCTCTCACCTTAGTCTTCCTTATTCAGATATCACAGTATTAGGCAAGTGTTTGACAGAGTATAGTTTGGGATTGTAGACATTTATTTCAATGAAGATAACATATTTTTCTCTCTTTATTCATTCCTTTTTTATCAGAAGAGTTTAAGAGAAACTCTTTAATGCCTTTCATTCTGTCATCTTTAATAAAGACTATTTCAATTAAAAAATTTTTATTGAAAAAAATATTTACTCTCCTTTTATTTTGATATCAGTGTTAATTTTTTTAGATTGGTAGAATGATCATTTTTAAGGACTTATATATTAGAGATTTAGGAATGCTTGTGCTGAACAGTTAACAAGCTTTTGTTTTAAAATATTAGAAGAAGCTGTTAGCAATCTGGTATCTTCTGGTAGGGAAATAAACCATTTTATGATAAGGAGTAGTCTGGTAAAATGTCCTTGCCCTTGGAGTTTTGTATTTATATTAGAGCTTTCATGGTTTGCATCTTAAAAGGCAAAGTAGAATTATGTTTTCTACTTCCAGTCCATTACACCATTTTGCACTAAAGGGATTTCTTAACAAAATAGATGCATTTCATTAAAATGTATTTTAAAGCAAAATTGCACTAACTGAATCCTTCAATTCATAACAATAGATTGGTTTTCTATGGTATTATAAAAGTATATGTCAATCAAGTGTTGCCCTTTCTGACTGTAATAAAATCACAGTTGTAGCAATGGAGGAGGTTCTGAGAACATAAAGGAAAAAGATTTTTCTTTTCAAAAACTTTTTGCTGCTTTTTTTTCTTGAAAGTTATCTTAAAAGATACAGATTACAACTCCCATCTTTGATAGAACTAGGGGACATTTTTAACCTCTAAATTACAGTATGATAAAATAACCATCTGCCTATGATCATGGTAACCAGTTCAGATTAGAGCAGGTTCTAAAAATTGCTTATATTCAGGAAGAACCTAATGTGAATACAGATACATTAAGAAGTGATTGGGGGGCCTCCCTGGTGGTCCAGTAGTTAGGAATCCACCTGCCAATGTAGGGGACACCGGTTCCATCCCTAATCCAGGAGGATCCCACATGCCTTGGGGCAGCTAAGCCCATGTGCCACAACTACTGAGCTCACACTCCAGAGCCTGCGAGCTGCAACCACAGAAGCCCACACGCTGTAGAGCCTGTGCTCTGTCATGGGAAAAGGCACTGCAATAAGAAAGCCCGCATGCTGCAGTAGAGAGTAGCCCCTGCTCACCGCAACCTGAGAAAGCCCACACCACAACAAAGACCCAGGCACAGCCAAAAATTTAAAAAAAGAAGTGATTAGAAATTCCCTGGCAGTCAATTGGTTTGTATTCCAGGCTTTCACTGACAAGTGCATGGATTCTATCCCTGTTCTCCCGACAGGGAGTCCCTGTAAGCTGTGCCTTGCAGCCACCAAAAAAAAAAAAAGTGATTTAAACAACTAGTAGCAAGTTTAGGTTAGAATTACCTGGACATGTACGCAAAAGAGAACAAGATAATTGTAGGAGAGCAAAAATCTCATCTTTCGTAATAGGAGATCGTAATACTAAAAACATAATACTAAAACTTCAAACTCAAGATTAGGCAGTACAAATTTTCACTTAAAAATATGAAAATAGGTCAAAAGAAAATGGGGACCTCTGGACAAGGGAGAATGAAGAAAGGGACTGCTGTTTGCCTTAGTAAACTTGTGGGTCCTAGTTGACTCTCCTAAGTGTGCAAAATCAAAACCTAAAAAAAAGAAGTAATTCCGTGGTGGGCTAGTGGATAGAACTCTGCACTTTCACAGCTGATGGCTTGGGTTCAGTCCTTGGTCAGGGACCTCAGATCCAGTAACATGTATGGTGTTGCCAAAAAAGCAACTGCATTTGAAAATTTTCTAGTAGATGTATTGTAGCAAAGTATACTTGCAGTACTACAGGTTGTACTAGCACAGCCCGAACATGACACTGGCCTGTTACTGGGATCTTCATAGAAGCCCAGTAAATAGCATACCTTTTCCTGCCGCATTCTGAGCAAATTAAGAAATCAAAGCTATGAAGTAGCATAAGGAGGTTGAAATATCAACTTCATTTCTCTTAAAGGTTAAATTGGAGGATACAACTTAGAATGAGAACTAAATGGGTCTGTTTAACTGAACCCCAGAATAAAATGGACTTACCTACTTAGTCACAGTCAATGTTCCTGGAATATGAAAGAAGGTATACTCCCCTAAGGGCAGCTCACTTCTGTGAGAAAAAGGGTGAAGCTGAATTGAGCATACTTAGTTTATTCTTTCCCAAGTTTACCATTCAGGGCATATCATTCAACTCGTGACAGAGAGAGAGACAAGTTGAGCTTCCTTCTCAATGATGAAAACATCAAAATGTTGAATTGTTCCAATCTGACATTAATCTCTTTCAGTTTAATCTCTTTTACAATTTTTGTTACTTTGATGCTCAGTTTTGCCATAATAGTCTGTATACACCTGGTGTTGATCCATTTTTAGTTGGTATAAATCAAAGAAGAAAAAATTTTTTCATATATTAAGGAGCTATTTTTGATGCAGTCCCCCAATTTTTTTTTAAAAGAGTAAGTTTTTAACCTGTATGTTAACAGGTAAGTTATAAGTGATTTGTACTTTATTTGTGGGAAATGAAACCTGAAAATTACTTCTAAATGTTCTCCTGAGAGAGACATTTCCTTAAGAGTTGAATATGTAGTATATTAGAATGCTCAGAATTACATCCTGTTTTAACCTCTACTAGATTTGGCAAAAAGTTTATCAAGTCATGTTTGAGTGCTTACCATGTGTAAAATCTTAAATAGATGCTCCAGAAGTTAGTAAAAGAGGCACCCTTTCTCTTCAAGAGCTTATAATCAGGCAAAAATGGATATAACAATTAAGCACAAGATAGTACATGGAAGTAGCATAAGAAAATACTTAGTGCTAAAGGGAATTTAATTAGAGGGGAACATATGGAATTTTTGAAGGGAGGTAGACAAGGAGTATGAAATGGCTTCTAGGAGTGCTGTCATTTTACTGTCTCATTTTTACCTCTAACATTTAGTCTGACTGGGTCTTAGAATTTAAGATATCAGTATTACAGTAACATTTATTATCTTTAGAAAATAAGTAAAATATATCCATTGTAGAAAGCTTAAGAAATGTAGAGAAGCATAAAGAATACAGTAAGTATGCATAATACCACTGCTCATTTAATGACACACTCATATTCTTGTTTTATCCTTCAGGTTGTTTTTTTTTTCCAAATAAAATTGACATCATATTGAATGTATATTATCTTAAAAGTATCGTGTATACTGTTCTTTTCACTAAACATGATAGCATGTATAACATGAGCCTAGGTCTTCACAACATTTTGAGTCAGTTCTCTATTACTGTGCTAAGATGAACATTATTTTGTCTTTTGCTGTAGTCTCTGATTATGTCCTTTGGTCAGCTTTTTAATAGTTGATTTTTTGAGACATTTTTAAGGTTATGATAGTGTATTTTCTCTAATACTTAAATAAACCTTTTGTTGAAGAATATATATTCTTGGTAATAGTATTTATTTGCGTTTATTGAATAAGTCTTTCCCTATTTTTCTTTCCTGGCTTTGAATATACTCACATTAATTAAAGGATTTAATTAATTCAAATTAAATTGAAATGCTTAAATTAAAACATTTAAATGTTTATATATCTGTCTCTGTCGCATTCTTAACTCTTGAACATTTCTAATACTTAATTTGGAGGTATACATTTAAAAGGTTTTTTAATGTCATTTCTGTTTGGAAAGTAGCCTTACCTTCAGGCTTAATTTCTGTATTTTCCAGGGTTACTTTGAAAGCTGCAACATACACAGAAACCGGATAGCAGGCTTTGAAGTAAAAGCTTACGCTAACCCCACAGTGGTTCGATGTGAAATTCATCATGGGCAGACTGGGGGAATATATGTTCACGAAAAAGGAAGAGGACAATTCATAGAGAATAAAATCTATGCAAACAACTTTGCAGGTGTATGGATTACCTCAAATAGTGACCCAACAATAAGGTATTTATATATAATTATGGAAGACAATTATATTTTCACTTTATGTTTTGTGTTATAAGAAGAGTTAAGATACTTAGCTTTAACTATTTTTCCTAGACACCTGATTACTATAAAATAGATTTACGTAATAAAAGTCTGTGCATCTGAATGAACATAGCTATTGCATTTATTTTATGGTGTTCTATTTTTTATTAGTGATCTAATCCACATAACCTATTTTTTATGAAAAACTGCAGATGCTGTGATTTTCATTTTATTTTTTTTATTTATTTTTTTTATTTTTCATTTATTTTTATTAGTTGGAGGCTAATTACATCATTGCAGTGGTTTTTGTCATACATTGAGATGAATTAGCCATGGATTTACATGTATTCCCCATCCCGGTCCCCCCTCCCACCTCCCTCTCCACCCGATCCCTCTGGGTCTTCCCAGTGCACCAGGCCCGAGCACTTGTCTCATGCACCCAACCTGGGCTGGTGATCTGTTTTCACCCTAGATAATATACGTGTTTCGATGCTGTTCTCTTGAAACATCCCACCCTCGCCTTCTCCCAGAGTCCACAAGTCTGTTCTATACATCGGAGTCTCTTTTTCTGTTTTGCATATAGGGTTATCGTTACCATCTTTCTAAATTCCATATATATGTGTTAGTATACTGTAATGGTCTTTATCTTTCTGGCTTACTTCGCTCTGTATAATGGGCTCCAGTTTCATCCATCTCATTAGAACTGATTCAAATGAATTCTTTTTAATGGCTGAGTAATATTCCATGGTGTATATGTACCACAGCTTCCTCATCCATTGGTCTGCTGATGGGCATCTAGGTTGCTTCCATGTCCTGGCTATTATAAACAGTGCTGCGATGAACATTGGGGTGCATGTGTCTCTTTCAGATCTGGTTTCCTCGGTGTGTATGCCCAGAAGTGGGATTGCTGGGTTGTGATTTTCATTTTAAATTCATCAAACTGTATTATAGATGAGTAAATAGGGCTCTGATCTTCTCTTGGAATCTGAATGATCTGTCTTGTCCTTTTTTTTTTCTGAGATCGGATAGTTAGGTTATTAATTATCTCTTAAGATATTTGGACAAAGAGACCAAGAATAACAAAAGAGTCAAAACTTTAAGCTGTCAGTTCCTGACACTCCCTCTGGCCACAGCAAGAAAACAAACAGATCCAGTCTTTTTTATTATTATTTATTTTTGGCTGTGCTGGACGTTGGTGTATGTGGACTTTCTCTGGTGGCAGAGAGTGGAATCTACTCTCTAGTTGCAGTGTGTGGGCTTCTCATTGCAGTGGCTCCTCTTGTTTCAGAGCAGAAGCTCTAGAGCATGGGCTTAGTAGTTGTGGCACATGGGCTTAGTTGCCCCACTGCTTGTGGAATCTTCCATTGTCCCCTGCATTGGGAGGTGGATTTTTAACCACTGGACCACCAGGGGAATCCACAGATCCAGTCTTATAGTCACTGGCTAAGACTGTAAGACAGAGTAGTCAGTGACTATAAGACAGAGCTGTTATAATGAAATCAATGACCATGAATTATTTCTGTAAAATTGTTTTCCACTGGCTTTATGAAAGTTGATTATGTGATTTCCATCTTAATTACTATTCAACAAATGCTTATACATGGGCTAAGAAAAGTTCTTTTAAATGGATTAGCTCCTTTTTTTTTTTTTTTTAATTTTTGTAAATTTTAGTAAGTTTTGTTTTTGTTTCCTTCGACCTCGCATCTTGTGGGATCCTAGTTCTCTGACCAGAGATCAGACCTGGGCCCTCTGAAGTGGAAGTGCAGTGTCCTAACCACTGGGCTGTCTGGGAGTTTCCTGAATTAGTGCTTTTGAGGGGAATTTTTAAGAATGCTAATTCATGGAGAAGGCAATGGCAACCCACTCCAGTACTCTTGCCTGGAAAATCCCATGGATGGAGGAACCTGGTAAGCTGCAGTCCATGGGGTTGCACAGAGTCGGACACGACTGAAGTGACTTAGCAGCAACAGCAGCATATTCCCAACATCACAATTCTCCCCCTTCTTACTGTTCTCAGAAACACAAGGAGTAATCTGATCCAGGACCAGGACCACCTCTCCAAATGACTGTATTTATAAAGACTTTTGGAGCTGCACTGAAACATCTGTTATAGTTAAACCAACCTGGTTTTTTTTCTTAATAAATTGAGTTCCCAAGGTACCTTATTGAAGATCTTTCAGAAAGCTCAAAAAAAAAGAATGCTAATTCATCTCAAATACTGGATGGCTTTTCCAAAGCTCTAAGTCTTAGAATTGAAGGGAAATCATCTAGTTCCCCATTTCTATTTAGGAAGCTAAAACTCATAGAAGTTAAATAATTTCCTAAGGGCGCATGAACATGGCTGGGCTTTTAATAAAACAAGCAAGTCTTTCTGCATAGATTCTTTTTTGTGTTCTTTCCTCATATGATTATAGGGGGAATTCTATATTTAATGGAAATCAAGGTGGAGTTTACATCTTCGGTGATGGACGAGGCCTTATCGAAGGAAATGACATTTATGGTAAATGTATTTTGTTCTGTAAAATTTTAGAGCCTGGCCTGTGTTCCTGTCATTAGTAAATGGACCATTTTGAAACCTTCTGAACAGGAGAACTGATCTAGGTTCTTTAAATCCTCAATAAAGATTATTCTGTGACATTTATTTACTTAACAAACATTTACTGAGTATCTACTATGTATTAGGCACTATTCTACATACTAGAAATGAAAATAAAACTAAGACCCTATTCTCACAGAGTTTCTGCAGTTCCCTTAGATTCACTCCATTGTTTAGCAATTTCTGTGGTAGTTTAATACACTTTGGTACTAATTAGAAAGGGAAAATACTTACTCATTAAAACTTTTGAGGTATTAATTCAGCAAACAATTATTAGGTATCTCTGTGCTAGACACTGATGTGTTCCTGGGTGTCCTCTTTTGCTAATACTTACTGGATAACACACATAATTTTACTCATTGCTAGCTACTTTTTTGAGTACCTTACTTGAATTAAGTCATATAATATTTACATCCACCCTGTGAAGTAGGCACTATTAAATATCCCCCACTTACTGGTCAGGAAACAAAGATACAAAGAGGTTTAAGCAACTACTCAAAGTCACACAGGACATAAATCAATTTCCTGGGAGTCAGAACTTAACAGCCTGGCTCCAGCATCTCTAGTCTTAGCCACTGTACTTGGACTGCCTGCAGTCCTTCTGCATCTTCTTACACTCCTAGTTCCCTTAGTTTTGTCTTGAAATGTTCATGGATCATAAGTATCTTTCTGAATATGACATATTTCACAGAATTGCGCTCTACTACGTTCCATTAGGCTCCATATGTTGATACTGTAACTTTTATTTTTAAATAGGCAATGCGTTAGCAGGAATTCAGATTAGGACAAACAGTTGTCCAATTGTTCGACATAACAAAATTCATGATGGCCAGCATGGTGGAATTTATGTGGTAAGTTAATAAATACAGTTCTAGAATTTCATGAACCAAAGTCGGGGTAGAAAGAAGAGTACAAAATTATGTCTACCTTTAAATAGGCCATATTCAGCTTTTTCTCTCTCACAATGTGTGAATGACTTAATTTTTCGTGTGTAGCGCTCAGTATAATTCTGTCAACTGACTAAATTTAAGCATAGGAGATACACCTTTTTATTGAAATATCTAATTATAATGGCAGTATGGGCTGAACGCCTAACAACAAATGGTTGGCAGTCTGAGTTATATTTGTTACTCTAGAATTTGGCCAGTGTGATTACTGTATGACTCTCTGAGATTTTCCAGAAGTATTAATTAAAATCATAATGTCACTGAGTATTACTAATACTAGACTTGAATATTTTTATCTTCTGAAAAAGCCAGACATTTGACATGATGTTGAAACATAATTAAACATCTTACAAAATTTAAAAACCTATGTATTAGTGTATTAGTCCTGTGTCTTCTGTCATCATAGTATCTGACACTGTTATTCAAGTAAGAAAATGTAGAGAATTTCAGAAAGGTCCTTGCGTGATACCAGGTGTGAGTCTAATTTTTATTCATAGTTCTAGAAATGTTCATGTCTTAAATCTTCTACTAAAAAATTTTAGTAACTTGAACCTTGTTTTGAACCATTAATAGGTTGAAATGATTATTAACTTCCTAAGTGAGAGAACTATAGTTTGTTTTGTATCTTAGAATGAAATAAGAAAATCCAGTGCTACTATTCTTACCATAATAGATTTAAAAATACACAAAGGACAGCATAAAACCTTTGAGCTTAAACTCAGGTAAAGACTAGGTAAGAGAATGTTACCTACCAGTTGGCTCTTTTTTTTTTTTTGGTCATAAGTTTTCTCAAAAGGTAGACTATACTGCAAATTATTTGGCTTATACAAGATACATATTATAGTCAATAACTTTTATTTAGCATGAGAAAGGACAAGGCGTAATAGAAGAGAATGAAGTCTATAGTAATACTCTGGCCGGAGTCTGGGTGACAACTGGCAGCACTCCAGTACTGAGAAGAAACAGGATACACAGTGGCAAGCAGGTAAGGTTATATTTGACTTAGTATGGGAAATTATTGTTTTATAAACACATTTTTTAATTTGAAAAAAACTTTTATTTTAGGTTGGTGTTTATTTTTATGACAATGGACATGGAGTACTAGAGGACAATGATATTTATAATCATATGTATTCAGGGGTTCAGATAAGGTAAATGTTTTCACATTTGGCTTTCTTCGGGGAGGGAATTGTGAGTGTGTAGGATAAATAGAAGAAATTACATAGTTATTAAAGGCTCAATCTTTATTTCTCCTTTTGTATATGTGTTCATATTCTATCATACTCTTGGCGTAAATTGTGAGCCTTTAAGTTTTGGCTGAATGGCACTATGCCATGAGAGCTCGTGTCCACTGTTGTGTCATCCGGCATGACAGTCCTTACCAGCTGACGGTGTCCTCTGTCATACTTGGAGAGTGGAGAGCTATGTAATACCTGTAAGGTACCTACATGTCGTAGGCTCTTATTAAATGGGAGCTTCTATTTTATGCCCATTCTGCAAAATTAATAGGTTTTAACTCCTTCTTTCTTGTATTTTACCAGTTTTTGGAATTGCAGTAGTCCTGATCAAATTTTATTTTACATATGAGGGGAGCATGTAATAATAAATGTTACTTAATCTAACCTCCTCAGTTTAGTTTACATATCAGGAGACTCTATGGTAATAATCTATAGCTAAGTCTGTTCTGTGGGAAAATAGAATTACACACAATTAAGCCCGTTTCCTCACCGACAGACTTCTCAAAGTGTCTTGAAGGTGATGTTTAATTATGTCATTAATTCTTACAGTGATTATTATGGGTTTTCTTACTGTTACCATGGGATGTGGGAGCAAAAGCAATGAGATGGCATTACTTTCTATTCTATCCATAGGACTGGAAGCAACCCCAAAATTAGGCGCAACAAAATCTGGGGAGGACAGAATGGTGGAATTCTAGTTTATAATTCTGGTATGTTTAATCTTTTACCTTTTTTTTTTCCCAGTGATATTGTCTTTAGAAATATACTTTCTAAATAACATAACCTAAATTTTTCCACTTATAGGTCTAGGCTGTATAGAAGACAATGAAATATTTGACAATGCAATGGCTGGAGTCTGGATTAAGACAGACAGTAATCCTACACTAAGAAGAAATAAAATCCATGATGGAAGAGATGGTGGCATCTGTATATTTAATGGGGGTCGAGGTATTGTTAACTTTGCATTAGTTAAAAACGCAGTTTTCCATTATTCTTCCATATCTGTAATGATCAATGACACTGCCAATTAATGTCATTGTGAGGGAATCACGGTCTTTCCTTATTAAATCTTGAGATGGCTTAGGAGGTTAGTGCTTAGAGTTAAAGGTGACATGTTTGCAGAATTTTTCTTCTGTTAACAGCTACCTTGAGTGTGCCGCTTGTTAGTAAGGCTTTTAAAGGTAGCAGAATTTGTTTACACCCTCCCTCTGGACCTTTTATTATCCAGAATAGTGATATGATTATAATAAACTTTATAGTCAAGTTATAGAACTAGGTTTGAAAAATTAATTGGACTTAAATATATAAAAATGTCTGTAGTCAGTAAGTATTGCTTATTTGTACCTGTTCACAACCATCTTTGTTGGAGAATTTAATTAATGAAGCCAAGATGTGCTTAGTTTGGTATCCATAAAGGTCAAATCAACTTTGCATTGAGGCTCACAGTCCCTGCCTCTTGCCAGTTCATTTTGTTCATAGAGACTATTGAATGCAAATTATCACCATTCCTGAAATATCAATAACCCAACATTATATATACCTTGTATAGAAGGTTAGCTAGTAATACTCTAAATAACAAGACTTAATCAACAATTTACTGCTACCACCAAGCAGCATGATTCCAATAATGACATAGACTCTCAAGAAGCTTATAATCTAGTAGTTCAGTAAATGACATAATCCTCTGATAGGATTCTTTATAAGATACAATGAGGAAACACAGTACAGAATTGTTGGTTTTATTTGTAAGGTGTTGGAAAAGGTTCTGGAGTAAAATCACTCTTGAGCTTAGTCTTAAAAAAATGAGTATTTACTGCTAAGATGAGGGGTTAGGGGTTTGAAGGCCATTCTGGTATAGAAAGTATAGTTATTTCACTCTTTCATTTATTTTAGTATATACTTGCTAATTGAACATATCTGTGCCTAACACTGTGATACAGATACTTAAGATAAAATGGTGAATGTAAAACAGTACTACATCCAGAAAGTTTGTAGTCTAATGGAGTGGCACATTGTAAGCAACAGTCTAAGAGGAAACAGTGGTTTAGTAAGGCAAGAGACTCTGAAAGTTGAGGCTGGAAAGGGGGCAGGGCCCAAATCATTAAAGGCTTTGTTTTTATACATGCAGTGTAATGAAAAGGCTTTGTATGTATGTAGTAGTTTGGACTAGACCTTAGCAATAGTACTTGAGGAGCCTATAGTGGACATCTACAAGATTAGCAGTAGGGTCTTGGAATAATCAGGCTTCTCCTGTGGCTCAGTGGTATAAAGAAGCCACCTACAGTGCAAGAGTTGTAGGAGAAGTGTGTTTGATCCCGGAGTCAAGAAGATCCCCTGGAGGGGAGGGCATGGCAACCCACTCCAGTATTCTTGCCTGGAGAATCCCATGGACAGGGCTACATAGAGTCGGACACAACTGAAGTGACTTAGCACGCAGGCACTCATGCACTTGGAATAGCCTTTTCTAGGGGGAAAGGAATTTACAGGTTAATACTTAACAATTACAGATAGGTCAGATGTGTACAGAAATAAAAGCATTTCATGTCTTCAGGGAGCAGAGAAACACTAGTACATAACTAAATATGATTCACTGTACATAAGTAGGTTTTATAGGAGTAATGTTAATACTTATTTAGTACTGTGTACTTTTACATGTATTAGCTAATCCTCATAATAACCCTATTGTGGTAGGTGCTATTATGCCTATTTTACTGATAAGGAAATTGAGATAAAGAAAAGTAATTTGCCCAGAGTTTGGATGTGGTTAAGTGGTTAAGTCAGTGTTTGAAGGTATGAAGTCTGATTCCTCAGTCTACTCTTAATCATTGTTATCATCCCAGAAGAGAGAATAATTAATTTGATAGAGGAAAACCAAAAACCTCCCAGAGGAAGTGACATTAAGAAGAAAGACTATGGGAAGACACTACAGAAAGAGGAAATAATATAAATCAAAGGCAGTAGGGATAAAAATGTATAGCATATTCAAAGTGTAGGTAATATAGTGAAATGAGGGGTAGGTTGGGGGAATATTTTGAAAGACTAAACAGCAAGTTAAATTTTAAACTTTACTCGGTAAGTTTTTTATACTGATAAAGGGATATGATAAGAGTTGTAGGAAACTAGGGAAACAACAGCAGAAGAGAGACCAAAGTAAAGAAACTGATCAAGGAATGCTGATAGTGGCCAGAAAGAATTGGGGCTTGAACCTAAAGCATGGAGAATGCAAAGATCCTAAAAATATTTCAAAGGAATTAATTCAGCAGTGTTGAGTAAGAATCAACTTTATGCTTTGTGCCTGGGCACTGGGGATGCAGTGGTTAAGCTATACATGGTCCTTGCAACCATGGGACTTCCAGTTTATGGGTTAGAATGGTTATCTGCTAATTTTAAAATTTTTGGTTAAATTCTACTTTAAATATTTGTTAATTACTAAACTTTCTTTTCAGTTGAAAAATTAGTTCTATGAATTTTACAGTCAATAAGAAACTAAAAGAAAACCTAAATACCACCAAAAAGACAGTAAAATTTGCTATATGGATTAACCTTAACCTGGAGAAATTTTTCATTATAGGTCTCCTTGAAGAAAATGATATTTTCAGGAATGCTCAAGCAGGTGTTCTAATCAGCACTAATAGTCATCCAGTCTTGAGGAAAAACAGAATATTTGATGGATTTGCTGCAGGTTTGTATTTTCTTTTGTTACCTGTAGCTTGTTTGCTGTACATTAAACTGATTCTTGGTATATCATCTCTTCTTAATAACTGAAGGTGTGCAGTGTGCTGCAGAATTCGGCCAAATGCTTGTTTGCAATTGCTTTTAAGAGCAGCTAATCCAAGTTTTGGATTCAGTCCACAGGGTTGCAGAGTTGGACATGACTTAGTGACTGAGCTCACACAATCCAAGTTTTGGATTCTTCTACTCTAAGCCAAACTTACAATATTGTTCTTGTAGTTCAGTAGTAATTAAGAATCATTAATTGGATAGAGTAAATACTGGCTACCGTTAGGAATAAATTAAGATAAAATGCAAGCCCTCTGGCTTCACAGTGTTTTTCTAAAGACACTGGTAAGTAAATTCAAGTATTATGCATATATTCAGTTCTTTGCCAGTAAAGACAATTTCTCTTAATTCCAAATAACCATCTAGCTCCTGCCTACGCGTATTTCTGGGCCCTGTCTTCTTAGTTGGAGAGAAATTTTAAAATAATTTCATTATCAATAAAGTATTATTCCTTCCTTATTTTTTCATTTATTTTTATTAGTTGGAGGCTAATTACTTTACAATATTGTAGTGGTTTTTGCCATACATTGACATGAATCAGCCTTTAGCAGGGATAGAGAACTAAGTGATTCAAATAAGCTTCCATTTTTTCTTTAGATGTTAGGAATTAATATACAGTTTACTACATTTAACATACTTTTTATATAAAAGAACTAGTTTACTACATTTGCTATATTTCAGGTTTATTTTAAGAAACTATATAAAGTGATGCATCTGCTGTTTGTAAATTTTGCTTCAGGTATTGAAATTACAAATCATGCAACTGCAACACTAGAAGGCAATCAAATTTTTAACAACCGATTTGGAGGCTTATTTTTAGCATCTGGTGTTAATGTGACAATGAAAGGTACGTTGGAATCTTGTGTTCTGCCTATATAAGTGCACTAAATATGCCATGAGAAGATAATCAGAAGCCACTGCTATTCAATAATTCTTCTGTCACTGTACAGTAGTTAACCAGCAACTCAAGAGATGTATTTTGAAAGAGTTTTGTTTCAACTTATTCTAAATAGTTGGGAGTACCTTGTACAAGGAAAACTCATTTCTATTTTTTTTTTTTTTTACTTCATTGATTAGCCTCTTTGAAAGCTTTTAAAAACTATCTTAAGTCTTTATACTATAGAATATTATTCTTTTTCATTACAGATAACAAAATAATGAACAATCAAGACGCCATAGAAAAGGCTGTTAGTAGAGGCCAGTGTTTATATAAAATATCAAGTTATACCAGCTATCCCATGCATGATTTCTACAGGTATATTTCTCAGTTTTCTTAAAAAAGGAGAGGTACTAAGGTTTTCTTTCCTAAACTGACAAAAACTCAACATTTTTAGCTTTCCCTCAAGTGTATGAGCTAAAAGAAAGTAAACTGGGTACTTGCTAATAGAATGTAACTGAAAATTATCAGCTGTCCACATTAAGTTCTGTGATCGTCTTGGAGGATCCTGTGTTTGAGACCATAAAATGTGGGAAAATGTAGTACTGTAGTAAGTGTAGATACCACTGAAAATGCAAAACATTTATATTGTTTTCCTAGACTGCCTTTAAGCGTTCCTTGTATCCTAGCTACCAAGAGTGGTTTTAATTCCCCTCTCCCCTGTATTTATTAAATAAAGGTAGCTACTTGTTTTCCTTGGGAGACACAAAATAGGAAATTGTTAAATTCCATTGAAGTCCCTTTTCAGAACTAGACTAGAACCACAAAAATTTTGGTCCTCTTAAAAGCCAAAGGTCATAGGGTAATATATAACAGATTGAAGTATTCTGAATAAGATGATAGAGGAAAATAACATAAGCTTTTGTTTTTTAGATGTCACACTTGTAACACCACAGATCGAAACGCCATATGTGTGAACTGCATTAAGAAGTGCCATCAGGGACATGATGTAGAATTTATTAGACATGATAGGTATGTATGTATGTAGCACACTTGCTTGCTGTATTACCCAATTATTTGTCTCCTCACTTTCCTAATCTTTGGGTTTTCATATTTTGTTTTAGGTTTTTCTGTGACTGTGGTGCTGGAACACTGTCTAATCCTTGTACATTAGCTGGTGAGCCTACACATGATACAGATACACTATATGACTCTGCTCCACCTATAGAATCTAATACATTGCAGCACAACTGAATACCTTCCCTAAAGAAAAAGTCCTGCCATTCTAACATCATAACTTAAAGTGTTTTGGGGTTTTTTTTTTTTTTTTGGAAGATTTAAAATATTTGCCCATGCTACAGGAAGAGACTGTATAAAATGAATACACAAGGTCAGTTGACACTATGAAGCTCAAGCTACCAAAAAGAAAGTGGCAATATATTGACTCAGGATCTCAAAGCTGGGTGTTTTAGCATTACTGTGTAAAGACTTTTGAAGGGACAGAAGTGAAGAAAATAAGCTTCAATTTTGTACAGATACCAACTTCTGAAAAAAAGCTGGTGTTTTTACAACTAGCATTGAATGCAGTCCAACTTGCAGTAGTACTCTTCAATAGACAGGCAGCTTTGTTGCTGCTTTTATGGACGTGGGTACCAATTGCTTTTGTAATATGGTAAAAATGTGAGCTAGCACTTCTGCGTTTCTTTTGATTTTTTTTTTTTAACATGTATTCAGATTGAGAAATATGATTTTAATGCTTTAATCTCATGTAGTTTGTTTTTAATTTCAAGCAAAATCTTATTGTACTTGAATGTGCCCTGTTTTGTTAGCACACCTAGACTTGCTGTAACTGTACTCATGTCCCAGTATGTACGTTCTTTCTATGAAAGAGAAAACACTAATCTTAAATTATATCCAGCAATGTTTCTGGTATCCTTTAAGAAAAGTTAAGACTATTATTTCCTTCCCTTCCCTGTGCAGCATTCAAAATCACCCCTAGAAAAAGTGAGTGTTTTAATGAGACTTCCTAGGAAGGGATGCACTGTAAAACAAAAGTATTCTTGTAACTCAGTTTTGTGAAAGGTAAAAACTACTATGTTTTAAAAGTACACTTTAGAAAGTCTCTTCAAAACAGTCCTGTATTTGAACTCTGTTCATAGTTTTTTTTTGAACAGTTTAGACAAATTGCTGGAAATTAAAACAATTTCCCGCATTAAGCTGAGACAAGTATATATACAGCCCTATACAGTTTCATAGCCCCCCCCCCCATTTATGTGTATTGGTGACAGTGGGTATAAACAGCCTGAAAGTGTATGCATGTACCATAACATCTAGACTTAATATATTGTGGAGTATTCAATAACCATTATGTAGAAGGTAGATAAGAATTAAAAGGGTTTAATTTCCTAGAAAGAAAATGGAAAAATGGTCATTTTTAAAAAATAAAGTTTATTAGATCATAATGTTGTCTGAATTTACCACCTTTGTCAAAAGTGAACTCAAAGCTTCCAATGTAGTCTATAATTCCTCAATCAAAGTCAGCAACTTATGGACAGCTTCAGCACCCACAGTCGACCTTTCACTAGCCAGACAAACCTCCCTTAAAATTAAAAAAAAAAAGTTAGTTTGCATTTTTCATAGTGCATCATCCACCCCTTTACTGCTTTTGAAACTGCGTTGTAAAATTATATCCAATTATAGTTACCGAAATAATCGCAGTGACTGAGTCATCTTCTCAAATTCTCTTGCTTTTCTATGTCCCTTTTGAATAACCTCCTCTGGAAGATTAGCAAGCCGGGCTGCATTAAAGCCATAGCTTTTAGGACAGGCCCCCTTAATGAATTTATAGAGGAAGGTAATAGTCTCCTGGCTGGGATCTTCACACTCATTTTCTACCATACATGCCTAAAAAAGAAAAATTAAATGCTGGCAATGGAAGGACCCACTCAAAAACCAACACAATTTTTGAATAAACAATTTATACATACCATGTGTCCTAGGCGCACTGCAACATTTTGAGAATAATCTTCAACTAATGAATGGTAGTGGGTAGAAAACAACGTACGACACTTTATATTCTCAGCAAGTTCTTTAACAACTGCATTTGCTATTGCTGTCCCATCAAATGTTGCAGTACCTCTTCCTATGAAAATATACATAAACTATATATTATACAGTCTGCCCTATTATATTCCAAGAAGGACAGGCCTCAGAATTTTTTAAAAATGTACTGAGTATCAGCTTAGTACATCCAAAAGCACTCTGTAAACAGGCCCTCTCTAGCTAAAGCAGGCCTGCTTATCAGCCCTTGGAGTTGAGGAATAATATTTAAGTGCCACTGTGCTTCAGAAACTTCCTTTTAGTTCCTTTTAAATAGCCTTATTATCCAGTTATCCCTGTATTACAATTTAAATTCTAACAGGATTTAGAAATTGCCACCTAGTGCCAACTGTGGGGTCTATGGACAAAGGTGGGTATATTCATATTCTTTTTCCTTAAGAAATGTGTCCTTCAGACCATTTTCCAGAAAAATAATTCTTTATACTAATGTTTTAGAAATTTTAATGTCTTACCTAATTCATCCACAAGCACCAGAGAATGTGCTGTTGCATGTGTAAGTATACTGGCAGTTTCACTCAATTCAACAAAAAATGTACTTTCACCTTTAAAAAAAAAAAAGTGATCAAAATGAGAATCCTAAACATCTTTTAGGTTCGTATCATCTGAATCTGTTATGAACTACCCAGTGGTACTAAAGATTAAATTTTACTAGATTACTTCTAGTATGTTAAAACTTGCATAATGAATTGTCAAATAACAGAGCCTTAGGTAGAAAAATAACTCACCTGACATTATTCTGTCCGAGGCACCAAGTCTAGTAAACACTCTATCAATTGGTGTGAGCCTACACACTTCAGCTGGTACATAACAGCCCATCTGGGCCATTACAGCTAATAGGCCAGCCTGTGAATGAGGGAGGAAAAAGTTATTTTATGACTGATATTAACAGAACAGATAGAGATATCTATGTATATCCAGAAGACAGATAATAAGCCAAGCTAATAAACATTAACTAGAAGTCAGGCTGGGAGGGACTGGGGGCAGGAGAAGGGGACGACAGAGGATGAGACGGCTGGATGGCATCACTGACTCGATGGACATGAGTTTGAGTAAGCTCCAGGAGTTGGTGATGGACAGGGAGGCCTGGCGTGCTGCGATTCATGGGGTCGCAGAGAGTCAGATACAACTGAGCAACTGAACTGAACTCAACTGAGAAGTCAGGCACTCTTAAAAAAACAATCTTCACAATCGTAGGAAAAGTGAGGCTGAGGGCCTGCTGGCTTTAAAACGTCAGAACATATACACTAACCCACTAGACTAGTGCTTCTCAACTCTGGCTGAACAGTAGGATTAAAACTATTGATGCCTAGAACCAACTGCAAACCAAACAATTTCAGAGGATGAATACACCCCAACTCCCAGGTACTTTTTTTGTTGTGCTCTCTAGATGATTTTGATTTAAAATGAAAAGGTTAAAAACCATATCACTACACTATTGCTCCTCTCCAGTCAGTAAATTTGTACAAAGTATATAATACAGTACAGTAGAATAAGAGGGTCAGCAAACATTTTTTGTCAAGGGCCCAGTGTCTCTGTGACATTTTTTCTAAACCCTTTACAAATCTAAATCATGTTTAGCTCAGTGACTTGCCAACCCCTGAAAAAAGGTTAGGAAAATATATTTACTGTCTTCCCTAAAAGCAGTTCCCAACAGTTAACTAAAGGTCATGAATTACATCTGCTTTCCTGTATGAACAAGTGCAGTGGTTCTAAGGCTTCCTAGAAATGAACCTAATTTAAGAACAAATGTACATTTGTATAATTTTCATTCATTATGAATACATCTAACCTTCAAAGGAAATGGATGCAGAGCTCATAAAAGTCATGGCCTGAACCAACTTCACCTTCTTAAGTGAAGTATTTCCTTTAACATCAGGCAAATATTTGATTAATGAAATGAACACAGTTCATGACTCAAGGAGTTTTCCTTTGCTTATCAGTAAGTCAGTGACTATCATGAGCTTTTTAGGAAACAGTGGCTTAAATGTATAATAAATTCACTCAAAGTTTTGTAACACCACCATTTATAATACTTTACCTGTCTCATGAGTGTAGACTTGCCTCCCATATTTGGTCCAGTAACAAGCACACAATAAGCTTTGCCATTTTCCTCCTCCTCTTCCTCACAGCCTATTAGAATGTCATTAGGAATAAAGTCATCACCAAAAAAAGTCTTCGTAATGCAGGGATGGCGTGATCCTTTAAGGTCTAGAAAGGGAGGAGTATCTTCTTCTGGCAACAGAATTATTGGACGACACATTGGACCATCACCCCCTCGACTGTAGTTAGTCAGGCACAATAAAACATCTGGTAAAGAGAGGACAAAAGTGAGGCTTCATCATTTTTGATAAGCAACAAAGGCCCAACTTCTATAAAAGTCTTTCAGAAATGCTTTAGTAGAGGTTAACATGTTCCACTTTAGACATGGTAGGTTTTTTTCTGTAAGCAGGCACTCTAGTGACATTGTTCTAACTGCACAGTATATAAAATGCTTTGTTAATGGATTCATTAGCTGGAAATGAGTCATCAGCCTAAATGTTTTACATGTCTTCCTTACAGCACTTCATTAAGAAATCTATCCCCTCAAAGTAGAAATTGTCAAAACACAGGAAAAAACCCTCAAAACTTTAAAAAAAAGAAAAACTTCAAAACTCTAAAACAAGCAAAGGCTTCAAAATAAGTTGGCCATGAAGTTTAAAGGAAAAGGAAATTATTTATGAAACTAAAGAGGTTACCTAATTACAAATACATAAACCAGGGCTCTTAGAAATAAACTCAGAAGACAAAGTGTGATAACTTGGGCTAAGAGAAAAAGGAAAGATTAAAATCTTTTCAATACATGTGTAGAGTGTAAAACAGAGGTCAAGGGATAGCTTTAAATTAACATAAGTAGCTTGGAACTTCACTGAACCTGGTGGTTCAGTGGTTAAGGCTCCGTGCTCCCAATGCCAGGGGCACAACTTCCATCCTTGGTCAGGGAGCTAGAGCCTGCATGCTGCAACAACAATCACAAGTGCCACAACTAAGACCTGGAGCAGCCAAATGTTTTTAAAGTGCAATGGAAACAATGTCCTATGCACCTTTCAAAAATAGCTTAAAAGCAACATTTATCAAATACTATAAATATAAATTCA